CAGGAGAAAGGCTGCAGATACCATGGGTTGCTTAGGAACCCAATACTAGTTTTAACTTCCAGTTCCTTTCCCTCTCCTTTTGGGGATGGTTTACTTGATTTTCTAGTAGCCTAAAGTGGAATTACTATGGACCGCTGGGTACTATAGACCATTCAGCGTGGATAGGCAATCAAGTTCCTCTCTATGCCACATCCCAATGTTCCCCTCCATTCTTTCCAGGAATCTCTCTCATGAAGAACTGCTCAGAGCAGGGTGGGAGTAGGGCTGTAGAAGTAGCATCTCAGAAATACCGAGGGAAAGGCTTCTATTCATGGTACTTCCTCATATGGAAGAGGAAAGAAGCTCTTTGTGCCATTAAATTAACCTCTGGAAACTGAACAGCTTCTTCAGAGAGTTCAGGTTCCACATACTGACAATAATTTCTGTCACTGCTTCACAGTTTCAGTGCAATGAGACCTTCTGACATGAGACCTTTTGTCACCCCTGGATGTCTATTAGAGATAGGTAAACTCCACCCTGAATATGGCTACACTCTGTTTGGGGTCTTGATCCCCCATGTCCATTTGTCACTACTGTTCATTCCACTTTCCTCTAAAGACTGATCTGAGAAACTCAGTTCACAAAGTGCCTGCTTTCACAGAGCCATCAGACTAGCTCAGAGCAGATACATATTTTCTTATGTGGTGGTGCTGACCATTAATAGCACAATCCTTTTAGCTTTTTTACTGCAACAACAGTATTTATCAAGCAGCTGGCAGTGGTTAATGCTCATCTCAGGCATCAATGTAGTCCTGTATCTGGATGAGTGACTAGTCTAGGCCCATTCACACCAAGGATTAGAAGAGTCATTCACTCAGTGCAGAGTCCCTAGGTCTCCAGGTAAAGCGAGAGATGATCACTCTTGCACCATTAATTGTGTGGCAATCCCCTATTCAGCTTTGAAAATCTCAACCAAGATTCTTATTTTTCACCCTTATAAAATGGGGCCAAACAAGACAGAAGAACAATAATTCAATACCATGACAGCAGGCTGATGAATACAGAAAGTCTGTTCAATCTCTTTCGATATCACATTATTCACATTTATAAAACAAATATCTATCTTTAATCATAGTCTGAAGATACTTTACTTTTAAAATAATGCCAATAGAACTCAGAAGTGCTGCCTAAAATAAAAATATTTGGTAACTTTCAGGCAGAGTTACAGAAATTCTCACTAAATAGACCTACTCCAGAGTTGTTTGTAAATGGTTACAGTTATCCTTTAGTTACCAGCCAGAGCAGGGAATGGAGGTGGAAGTAGTTTGGACCTCTGGAATCGTACTACCACTTCAGTTAGGAAGAACTTTTGAGTACCTCTGTTGGTTTTGGATACAACAGCCCAGCTGGGACAATAAAAACCCATTTTGAACTCTAGTCATTCTATTAATCTATCCAGAAGAATGAAATGCTTCACTGCTTATCAACGCAAGATATGACTGAATGGTGCTTGGGGTTTGAATTACCATATTTAATTAAATGTAAGATACTGAAATGCTTGGGGAAATCCACTAATGAGATTCCAATGATTGCAATGTATAGATATGTCTATTTTCCTCCCTTTCTTTCCACTGTGAGATCTTTAATGCATCTTTAAAAGGCATTCTTCAGAAAATATATTTTACTGTTATAGATATGTTTGTTTTAGCCTTAGAAATATTTTGTCTTCCCTATTTTATTTTTTCCTGTGTTGTCAGCATTTTAAAAATGTATTTTTGCAATTAAACACCAGAGTCACAGAGCTTGTACTTCATCATTACCACTGGTTACCTGACATGAGAATTAAATCTCTAACATTGTCTATAAATATTGTTCTAACATTTTATACAGTTCCATCCATCTGGGACATTACCATTCATGATGGGAAATGTCATCTTCTTCCTTTGAGTTTCATGCTAGTCCTGTTTCAGGTGACCAGATAGCAAGTGTGGAAAATCAGGACACTTTTTTTTTCAGGCGTATATAAGACAAAGCCCCTTATACTGGGATGTATGGTCACCCTAGTCCTGCTATAAGGGACTAGTTAACATTGCCTATGTTACAAAACAAAAATAGCAAGATCACTGCAAATAAATGCTTGATTGTGATGACTCATATGTTTGGGCACTTTTAAATAACCTGCTTTTCCTTGATAAATTTGAGCCTTAATACCCTCTCTTGGGGTGCCTTTGTGTATGAGCCTGTCTTTGGTGCTTCCTATTAGGACTCCTCCTTTTTGCCTAGTTTTTCCCTTAGAATCATAAAATCATAGAACTGTTGGGTTAGAAGGGACTGCAAGTGTCATCAAGTCGAACCGCCTGCCAAGAAACAGGATTTGTTGTGTCTAAACCATCCAAGACAGATGGCTATCCAGCCTCCTTTTGAAAACCTCCAATGAAGGAGCTTCCATTACTTCCCTGCATGGTTTGTTCCATTGTCCTACTGTTCTTATAGTTAGGAAGTTTTTCCTGAGATTTAATCTAAATCTTCCATGCTGTAGTTTGAACCCATTGCCTCTTTTCCTGCCTTCTGTGGCAAGAGAGAATAATTTTTCTCCATCTCCTTATGGCAGCTTTTCAAATATTTCAAGACTGCTATCATGTCCCCTGCTTAATCGCCTCTTTTCCAAATTAAACATAACCTTTGCTCTTATGGCTTGCATTCCATCCCTTTGATCATCCTTGTCACTCGCTTCTGGATCCTTTCCAGTTTCTCTATATCCTTTTTAGACATTGTTTACCAAAACTGGACACAGTACTTTAGCTGAGGCCAAACCAGCGCCGAGTAGAGCGGTACTATCACCTCCCATGACTTGTATACTATATCTCTGTTAATGCAACCCAAGATTGCATTTGCTTTTTTGCAGCAGCATTGTATTGTTGACTCATGTTGAGGTTGTGATCCACCACAACTCACCGATCCTTCTCAGCAGTGATCCCCCATTCTATATTAGAGAAGAAAATAGTATCTTTGTCTTTGTTGAATTTCACTTTCTTTTCTATAGCCCAGTTCTCCAATTTATCAAGATCCCTTTGAATTTTAGCTCTATCCTATTAAGTGTTTGTAACCTCCTCCACCACAGCTTTGTGTCGTCAGCAAATTTGATCAGCGTGCTCTCTATTCCTACATACAGGTCATTAATAAAAATGTTAAATAACACCAGACTCAGAAGAGATCACTGTGGAATCCCCTTGAGACCTCCTTCCAATCTGACAGCATTCCATTAAATAGTTACTCTTTGTTTGTAGTTGCCCTTGCTTTAGCATATCCTACTCCCACTGTACATGTAAGGCTGTATCAGAATTTGGCTTTGCAAATATTCAGTTGAATTTTTGGATGAAATGCTTCTATTTAGCTATAGCACGTCAGTTTTTCAATACCTATTTGAAGCCAAAAAGTAGCTGAAGCTGACGGAAGTCTAGGATTACGCATTGCGAAATGCCTTGTAAGACACGTTGCAACAATGTATTTTTGGAATGAGCAGCAGGCCTAGATTTCAGCACACTGCAGAAGCATTGTAACCGCCAGATTAGAGAGCCATGAACTCCACCAATTTACACTGGACAGTAGGAACACTATCAAGATGGAGAAAACAAGCAAGGTGATTGTCCGGGGCAAGCCTGAGGCAAGGCCCCAAATGATGTCTGGCGTCTCTGGGAGTTCAGCTCTGGGAAAGCAGGGCCCCGATGCCCCTTTTTGTCCTGAGAGTTCAACTAGGGGGATGAAGGGAGTATGGAGGGTACTCAGAGCCAGTAAAGAAATGAATATAGGGGAGTAGGGGAAAGGAATTATTAAAAATGAAAAACGTGGGGACAGGAAAGAAAATATAAAGGGGGAGAGAGAGACTCATAGAAAGAATGATATAGAAGGCAAACAGTTGTATATAAAACGTATGCATGAGAGTGGGAAATAAAAGGGGGCAAGGGGAGAGAGAATGGCATAAAGAAAGAATTAAGACCCAACACCTTTACAACTAGTAAAATATAACGAGCCAAGTCCTTAGCTGTCGGAAATTGGCTCTATTGATTTTAACAGAGCTATACCAGTTGACAATCTGGACCGCTGAGTGTATGGTCCTATATAGTGTTTGGCATCAGACAAATACCATTTCCAAGGGAGTCCTATATTCAGCCAGATATTGAAGCTAGACATCCACTACATCCCTAAAGGAAACATCTCAAATTCCATCTATATAAAATCAATCTGCTTTGGAAACACTGGGCCAAATTCTGAGGCGAGTCCAAGACTAGAAGGGGTCTAGGTTATGCATCTTTTTCTTGCTTCTGGGCCCACTGATATGTTATGGCTCTGGGTGGAATTCAAGATGTTGTTTCAGTCTATAAAGCCCTGAATGGTTTGGGACCTAGTTACCTCAGAAATCACCCCTCTTCCACAGTATATTGCCACCCCGATCTAACCAGAAGTTCTCGAGCAGGAGCTTCCTCAATGTAAATGAAAGAGGGCGCCATGCAGGGTGTTCTCAGTGCTTTGAGACTTGCTCTCCCAACCCCCTGCGTCTGCCAAAACCCAGATGTGGTAGCCTTCTGGGCACACTACAAAGCCTATCTTTCACCTCTCTTCTCTAAGGCTGTTGTAAAGGGAGTGGGTTGAGGTGGATACATTTATGGGAAATCATTTGCTGATTTTGTGGTTTTAACCATTGAGGTAGATGTCCAGAGCACAGACTGGGTGCTTATCGTTATATTTTTGACATGTAAAATAAATAAAATCAGTCCATTTATACTCACTAACAGCCACTTAGCAATGGGTGACATTTTGAAAATAGAGATCAAATAATGAAAAAAAGCACAAGAACGTGAAACTGAAGGAGGGAGAGAAATATCAAATCATGACCCATTCTGAAAGTGCAAAATGTATTTCAATTTGGCAGAAACATCCCTTATCCTGCTTCCTAATACTTTAATATTCCTTATATTTAAAAACATCAAGATAATGGTGTGTGTTACTTTGATCTCTCCCAGGTTGCTGCCGAGCTGGCTGCTAAAGAAGAAGAAGCAGCTGTAAAGAAACAAACCAAAGAAAAGGGGAAAAAAGAAAAAGGGAAAAAGAAGAAGAAGAAGAAGAAAGGGAAAGGGAAAGAGAAAAAAGGAAAGATGGACACTGTAAGGCATTTTAAAATGTGAATTTGTTTAGTAGTTTGTTAGAGCGGCGAAAGCTTCAGGCCTGTGCAATCCATGTGGCATCGCTGGCCTCCATTCATTCAGGGTTTCTGCATGTAGACAAACTGACTTGCCACCTTTGCTTCAGCCCCACTTACAGGAGGGTTGGAAGAGGATGAGGTCCTCATGCATCTTACTTCATCTAAGATTGATGGCCATGGAGACTTTATTTAGGCTTCCAAAACCAGAGGCTTGGGGTGGGTGTTTGTGAAGCTGCCTGTATCTGTGGCAATAGCTGGAGGAAGTCTGCCTGTGGAATGTTGATGTGGGAGGATTGACTCTGGGGGTATGGATGGGAAAGAACATGCTTAGAGAGTGTTACACTGCTTTAGAAGTATGGTGTGTTCTCCACCAAGCACAGGCCTCTTTGGGTATGTCTACACTGCTGTTCCAAACCTGTGGCTGGCCCATGTTAACTGACTCAGGCTTGCAGGGCTTGGGCTAAGGGACTGTTTAACTGTGGTATAGACAATGTTTAATTTGTGCCAGGGCTTGCCAGGACTGAGTCTCAGGACCTCTAGGCTGGGCAGTTCATAGCCCCGGCACCGCTGGACTTGCTGCATCAGTTATGAATGTAAAAATATTGGTGAGCCCCAGCACCTCTTTCATAACAAAAGCCCTGGGTATAGACATTCAGGCTTGGGCCAGAGCCCGGGCTCTAGGATCCTGTGAGGTCTGAGGGGTACCAGAGCTCAGGCTCCAGGCCAAGTCCAAACATCTATGCTGCAAATGAAACAGCCCCTTAACCTGAGTTCCACAAGCCGGAGTCAGCTGGCACGGGCCAGCCATGGGTGTCTAACTGCAGTGTAGACATACCCTTGGTGTGCAGATGACAGAATGCTGGCTATCACCCTGCCCAAGCATTACCTCCTTGGAGCATGGATTACCTGGGCAAGGTTAGCCACCAACACCCTTTCACTCAAGAGGTAGAAAGACCAGCATTCTGTCTGCCCTTATGTATCCAAACACTGTGAAACAGGCAAACTCTCTCCCTGAAGCTAACATTTTGCCAATCCAATCTGCACGCTTGCTTATATTTCAGACTAATTTTTTTAAGTACAATTTACTATCTGCAAACCATTTATTTTATCATGTAAACCAATGTTTTGCTATTCTGTAGATAGTGGCCAGGTTTTTTCAATTCACTTACTTAAAATGACCCTAAAGTAGGAGCTCTTTTCACCGCAAGTTGTTTGTAGGCCAAATTTATGTTTTTGCTAACAAAACTACTAGAATGCTATCCTCCCTGAAGGCTTTGAAAGGTTGAGATTCTGTTGCTCCAATTGGCTTTTTTCAATAGCAGGTTCATGGAAGAACACACCAGACAAATGATATGCCAACCAGAAGGTTGTGATGGATTTTAGCTGCATTGTCTTAATTCTAAATCATGCTGTGCAATCAGCATTTTGGACTTTTGCTGTAACTGCAACTTTTGTTGCATGTGAACTTTCTAGAGTGAGTTCGTTTTTTGTAGATACCATTCATCTTTAATCTTTTAGTGATCATTATCACTGAGTGTTAGGAGCAGGGGACTCTTGGGGCCCAGACATTCCCTCACTGTAAACTCTTCTGAAGAGAAGTTATACGTTTAGCTCTAACTGTGGGACACTCATATAACATGAAGACTAGGGTTTCTTAGGCAATGTCCATCAAGCTGTCTGAAACAACAGAAACAGCTGGCCACGAGACTAAACTAAGTGAAATAAATAAGTGTCAATCTTTCTAATTTAGAGGTTATCAGATTCTGACCCTGCAATGTGGGAGCATCCATATACAGTATATTTTAGGTATCTGTCTTCGTATGCCAAAGATACTAGGTAGATATCTGAAGAACTTTAAACCCATCCTCTTCTGCTCCAGTCAGAACTACAGAGCTAGCAGGATACCCGCTGAATCCTGTGTTACCAAGTTAGAATGCCTCCACTGATTCACACTGGTACAGTGCAGGACACATTGTAGCCCTAAGAGAAGAATCAACTAACAGTCATTGCATATCTCTACCTAAGTAAGAGTTTAAAGAAATTATTAGAATTACACTGGTTAAATGACGGTGTCAAACAGATCCGTGTAATCTAGGATATTAAGCAGTTCTCTTCAGCCTGAGAAGCATTTAGCAATATGTCCTTGTACTGCGAACTGAGGCCTTGCTTCTAATTCCTCCACTCTCCTAAATGGCCCTCCCAAAACAAAGCCCTAGTATGTCTCTATCCTGTCCCTCAGCTGGTACACTGGAGAAGGTCCTTCCACACACGCTGCAAAAATGTATCCTAACAGTACTTCAGTTTTTAAGTCACCAATGAAAAGGTCAGGAGGAAATAGCTTCAGACCCACTGAACATTCTGAACCAAATCTGAGCTTCAAAGATTGCAGTTTTCAGAGTAGCAGCCGTGTTAGTCTGTATCCGCAAAAAGAACAGGAGTACTTGTGGCACCTTAGAGACTAACAAATTTATTGGAGCATAAGCTTTCGTGGACTACAGCCCACTTCTTTCACGTCCCTGACTTAAAAACCCAACTTTCTAGTCTTTCATGAGGTAAGGTGATTGCTTTGTATCCCTCGGTGGATAAACAGCGATACCAAAAATGTGTCCCTGTGCTCTCACAGCTCTGGTTGAGTCTTGGTATGAAAAGTTAAAGATTTGCTGAAGAAACAACAGTACAGAACTATGGGGGCTTTATAATTTTTTGTAGCTTTCCTCTCTTCTCATGCTCCAGCCTCTGTAAAGTAATAATCAAGGCCATTATATCAGGTGTTCTGTGGCTCATTGAGATAGAACAAAGAGAACATTATTCCCTGCTTGTAATACTGAAAAAAAAAATCATCTTGGAATGGTGCAGAAGTATTCTGAAAAGTTCTAACAGAAGGACCTTATTAAAATAAGCATAGGCTAGAAGTCATAGTGACGCAGTCAAACAAGGCCTTGTTCCTAACTTCAATTTTTTAAGAAAACAAGATTATGATCCCAGAAGGAGATTTAAATATTCTTTAAGTCTGATAGTGATCTTTAGAAATATGCATTTGATATCAAAGTAACTTCATTTTCTTCCCTGTTAAACGTTGATCTGATTTCCCATTGGGCACTAAGAAAGAAATAACAGAAACCTAGCACAGTATAATCTCTCTTCACAAGCCTTTTATTTTTGTGACTTTTCAAGACATATGTTGAACCATTTGGAACTATTTAAAATAGTAATATACTGTGTACTAACCTGCTTGTAAGACATAAATATGGCTGAGGTCTCTCTACAAATTTCATCCAGCCATATGGAGCTTAAAGTAATATTCTGCCATCAAGGAGATCCACAGGCAGAACCTCTTCACTGTGACCAGGAAAAATGTAGCCAAACAGCACAGTGGAAATCAATTCAGATTCTTCACAGCCTTGCAGTGTGGATTTCCCCATGCAGATCAGTCTGTGGAAAGATTCAAACACATGCTTAGTGTTCATCCAATTGTTACCCCCATATCTGTGGCTGGATTAGGGTGACCAGATGTCCTGATTTTATAGGGACAGTCCTGATTTTTGGGTCTTTTTCTTATATAGACTCCTATTACCTCCCACCCCCGTCCCGATTTTTCACACTTGCTGTCTGGTCACCCTAGGCTGGATTGAAACTGGTATGATCAGTTCAAGGTGCCCCACCACAGTTCACACAACATTGACTCAGCTATTCTATCATCTGAATGTAGAAAAAATATCAAGAAAAGAATTCCTTTATCTTTCTAACACTGTGTGAAAAACACTTACTGCTAATGTAGAATTTAGGCCCATATTCATTGTAGTTGTTCTCTATATACTGAATTATTTTGAAAAAATCTATTTAAATATGTTGTGTATTAATATTTGAAATGTATTGGCATAGAAATACTCTTTACTTCAAAGTATAAAATCAGTGAAGTTAGCCAACAGAAAGACTGCTTTGCTTAGTCCTAAGGATAAAAGAAATAATTAATATATGTGCACTATGCTGTTCACTGGCTAAATAAATTAATGGGGAGCAATTGAGTTTTCAGGCTTCACAGCAATATTTGTGTCATTAACAAAATATAAATGTATGTCTGTTATAAATGCAACTTCTAGTCATCTAAATGTCATGTTGTGTAAAAAGTTCAATTTAAAAAAATGAAAAGCAATGCAACAGGGCTGGCCTGATAGTCTAAATGCAGTACATCGCATACTGCAGGAGATCCAGATACGGGTCCCAGAAATCTCAGGCCCTGCAGAAGGTGGGAGTGCAGAAGAAGCAGCAGAGAATTTGAGTTCCACCCTTGAATCCTCTTGCTTGCATTATTCTTCAGCCTACCCCTCCAGCCAATCCTCACCACCTCCTTGTCAAGTCATGCACTCTACTGATTAAAATTCCTTCATGCCTCCTTTCTTCTTTTGCCCCAAAATCACCTCCATGCCATCTCCCAGGTTGTTCCCTGTACCTGCAATATCCTTTATGATCCTTCACAGCACACTTCTCTTCTCAAAACCCATTGTTTTCCTCAAACAATAATCCTCTAATTGCCTAAACACAATCCTTATTTCATGACACCCAAGGGCTTAGCACATTGTGGCTACAAGGTGAAGAAGAAGAATGATTGGAAGTTAAATAGATTGCCATGCTCAAAGGTCCCATCTACATTACAAAAGCAAGTGAGTTTAACAACTTTTAATTTAAGGTGACCCAACTGGTTTTGAACACGAACTACCCCAATCTCTGTGGATGAAGTCCAACCATATGATCAGTTTGAAAAATATGATTTAGTTCAGGGGTCTCATCCAACAATTTTCACCAAATAACTTTTTGATAATCACTTGTGAATTAAAACTACAGTTGATCCCATTTTTCATTATACTTTGACCCTGTCTTTTTAATGGCTGTCTATTTGGTGATTAATACAATGATATTCTATATTTTCTTCACACAGGAAGAAGAAGAGGGCTGGAAAATGGCTCCTAGTAATTTCCTCCCTATAATGGAGGAAGGAAACAACCAATACAAAGGTCAGTAGAGGGAGATAATAATCATAGTTGGAGCATTCTTCTAATTAAACTTAGATTGGATGCCATCCATGTAACATCAAACTAAAGTATGGAACATTACAGAAGTCCAAGCTTTAGACAAAGTAAAATTTGGAAGGAGATTCCTCCTGCACCTGTAATTGATTTTTGACCTTTCTGGTAATATTAGGACATCATAAAGCAAGGACCAGATTCCAATACCCTTCCTCAGGTCTTTGACTCCAATCAGACAGCTGATAGTATTCAGTCAAAGCAGTTGCTCTCACAAGAGATGCAATATCAGGGCCATACTCTGTGACTAGACGCTTTGATTTCAAGGGGATGGTTATTAAAGTGAAGTGCTACTCAGTGCGAGGAAAGGTGGCAGAATCTGGCCCAAAGTATTGGTAGTGCATCTGTAAGTGCTTTAATTTTTTGTTATTTTTATTTCAGAAAAATCACCTGTGCTTATATATAGTATTGACTGGCCACTAAATGGAAATCTCTATCTAGCAGTTGAGGTTACAACTACATTCCTTAAATTTCTTACCCTCTTTGCCCTCTCATTCATTGCCAAGGCTGTTGATACACACCACTAGAGGTGGTTAGCATTTTCTGAATGAAAAGATGGCTGTAGAAAGAGAGCTTTTCAAAATGGAGATTTTTTTAAAAAAAGAAGCAGTTGACTTAAATGTTTGTGCTTCCTGCAAAGATTTTTTGCAACTTTTTTAAAGTCAAAACAATTAGTCAAACTGACATTGAAGTGTTTTGTTTACAGAAAACTCTGCTTTTGGTAAATGAAAACTTTCAACAACATTTTTGATAAAAAAAAGAGAGTTTGAAATTTTCCAGTATTTTTCAAAAATTTTCAACCAGTTCTGTTCTACCCCCCTGCTCCACACTTGTCCCCTCTTCCCTATCCAAAGCTCTGCAATCCATACCCTAACTACTCAAAGGAGCTACCAAGAGTATGTCTACACAGCAAAGAAAAAACCGTAGCTGGCCAGCCAACCCAGGCTCGTGGGACTTGGGCTGCAGGGCTGTTTCATTGCTGCATAGACTTCTCGGCTCGGGTTAAAATCCAAGCTTTGGGACACTCCCGCCCCGCAGGTTCCTAGAGCCTGGGCGCCAGCCCAAGACAAGAAGTCTACACAGCAATGAAACAGCCCTGCAGCCCAAGCCCAGCGAGCCCAAGTCAGCTAGCATAGGCCAGGTGCAGGTTTTGCTTTGCTTTGCAGACATACCCCAAGACTCCCCCAACCAGGAGGATCAAGAGTCTCTTGAGGTAAGAGGCTGAATAGAAAACATGGTTCATGAGCCATAGTGTAAGGCCTCAAAGGTGCAAATAAGCGACAAGTATCTGACCTTGGAACGCTTGAGACCAAACTCTGAAGTAAAGGTTTTGAGTTTTGCTGTCACTACTTCCGTGCCTACGTTCATTATGAGAAAGTTATTTTTTTAAATCGTTTCTTCTTAACACTCTACAGTGTTACTGACTTGCTAAATTCCTCGCCTGAAATCCTTTGTTGTTATGCAATCACTCACATTGAGTTGCCTCGGGTCAGCCGTGGGGAAAAGAAGTTATCAATTTGAAAATGAGTTGTAATCAGCAGAGTACTGCCCGGCCTCTACCTTGTTAACTCGTGGAATTTCTCTTGTAAATTATAAATCATGGAGAGTTGCTTCATGGTAAGAATCAAAGGAGGGCTCAAAGCCCTCGAATGCACACATACAGCTCCCACTGAAATCAACAGGAGATGCACAGATGTGAGAACCAAAGCAATTGCTCCTTAACTTGCAAGGAGTGTTTTGTGTGTGCTGCTAAGCATGTTTGGGGCCACTTTGGGTCTTGTCCTTGCATAGGCACAAAATGGAGGCAGAGGACACAAGAAGTGTCTCCCCATCCTGCTAACAACAATGGGAATCCTTGCACTCAGGGCTAGAAGCGTTGCCGACACCAGCCTCTGCATAAGGGGCAGGGAGAAGATGGGATGGGTTAGGCTTGTGGGGGAGCATGCACGGTACTCCGTTAATGACCCCTGAGAGCCAGAAGGTGTCCTGGAACTCCTTCTGGGGCAACGCAGCTCCATGCTGCCCCAAATACTACCTGTTAATCCCTCCGAAATTGTGTATATTGATTGTCTACAGCTGTACTGAAAAAATTGCTCAGCTACAAATGTAAAAGGTAAGAAATACAAAATGGCATGCTCCATTCACATACCTTTGTAAGTGGTGTGTGCATCCCTGGAGGGGCAAGGGAGGAGTTAAATCATTTAAAATATTTAGGTTAATATGCATGGGCGGGTTAAGAGTACTGACTCCATGATATGGGTGGGATGTGCGGGGGAGAGACTTCCCAAATCTCACAGCTAGCCCTTTCAAAGAAATATCCATTTATTATTACTTCTGCTTGAGAGCTGATAGGGGCAAGTTAATTGTCAAAAGTGTAACTGAAAACAGATGTGTACATGTTGCCATAAATTGTATGTGTAGCCAAGGTATGTTCCTTCTTAAATCCTCCCTAACAGGATACACTTGTAGGGGTTCCAAATATGCAGGTTTAGACTCTTGATAAATTATATGACACATTGTGACGACCCTATGCACTGAAAATGCCTCCAGGAACACTTAACAATGAGCTTGTGTAGGCAAGAGACACTGCAAGAATCCATTTGGGGTAAATTGAAACTACAGCCTGGGATTCAGATTTAACCAATATGTAGCACATCCAGAAATCCTTAGGGAGAGAACAGTAACTCAATGAAATTCAAAGGATAGCTATGGGAATGTCCAAGATTAACGTATTCACAGTAAAGTATCCAGAGCTGTTAAGCTTTGCCACACTTCTTTTATCTTTGCCACTTGTGGATTGAGACTATCTGAACCAATATTCTGGTTCTGATCATGCACATTTCACTGCTTTTCAATAAATTATTAATTTCTACAAACTACACATCCCCCACCTCATTCACAACTAACCTTCACAAACACCTGTCAGGGATGGTCTAGATCATGGGCGGGCAAACTTTTTGGCCTGAGGACCTCATCGGGTTTCCAAAATTGTATGGAGGGCCGGTTAGTGGGGGCTGTGCCTCCCCAAACAGCCAGGCATGGCCTGTCCCCGCCCCCTCTCTCACCCTTCCTGCTTCTCGCCCCCAACAGCCCCCGCTCCGGGACTCATGCCCCATCCAACCCCCCCTGTTCCCTGACTGCCCACCACCACCCCATCCAACCCCCCCCTTCCTGACTGCCCCCTGGGCCCCCTGCCCCCATTCAACCCCCCTGTGGAGGAGGAACTGCAGGGGAGGGGCCGGGGCTAGTCTCCTGGGGCAGGAGTTCAGGGGTTGGGTAGGAGGGTCCCGCGGGCCGTAGTTTGCCCATCTCTGGTCTAGATAATACTTAATCCTGCCATGAATGCAGGGGCCTGGATTAGATGACCTCTTGAGGTCCCTTCCAGTCCTACAATTCTATTCTATGATTCTATGATTCAGTATAGTTTATTATATAGCTATATCCGTCTACAGGTATGCATAACGTACTCTACCGTCACTTAGTATGCTCTGCAATTCTCATTTAAATTACCACTAGCCAAAAATGTACTGCTCACATGTGAGGCACAATTTTTCAAAATCTCAAGAATCAAATCAGATAGATGGTAGAGTGACTCTGAAAAGGTCACCATTTTTGAATATTGGATTTTTTTCCACTCTCCCCTTGCTTGAAAGTGCTTAACTATTGTCTATAGAAATTTTGAGGAAAACCTCATCTTTACCAGTGAATGAACCTAGAAATTTTCAGTCTAATAAGTAAGAATTATTCGGAGTGACCAAAAGCTGATGCTTACAATGGAAATGTTTAGGGAACCTTAACTGTAAGCGATGGCGTCCACTTAAAACACATTTTACACACACACACACACACACACACACACACACACACACACACACACACTATTATATATAGTACTCCT